CCACACGGCAGCGGAGGCCTAAAGCGAAAAGGCTTTATAAAACCCAGCTGAAGGCCTAGGACTGGGGTGATGGCGTGCGTGCCCACAGAGAGGGCTCTGAGTGCCGCCTCTGGCACCCGTGCCATAGGTTCGCCACCACTGCCCTATACTATACCTGTACAAACTTGAACAATGGGCCCTGTCCAACAAAATGAGTTTCAATGTGGAGAAAAGCAAAGTTTTACATTTAGGCAGGAAAAATCAAAGGTACAAGTACAGATTGGGGGAGACCTGGCTTAAAAACAGTAACTGTGAGAGGGACCTTGGAGTCCTAGTGGACGATCACTTGACTATGAGTCAGAAATGTGCAGCAGCAGCTAAAAAAACTAATACAATCCTGGGTTGTATAAACAGAGGCATGGAATCAAGATCACGTGAAATATTAGTACCACTTTATAAAACCCTAGTAAGATCACACCTGGAATACTGCAGCCAATTTTGGTCACCATATCACAAAAAAGATGTTGAGAGTTTGGAAAAAAATTCAGAGAAGAGCAACTAAGATGATTAAAGGCCTGGAAACTAAAACATACGAAGAACACCTGCAGGACTTGGGTTTGGCTATTCTAAAGAAAAGAAGAAATAGGGGAGACATGATAGCAGTATTCAAGTATTTGAGGGGCTGCCACAAAGAAGAGGGGGTCACATTATTCATCAAAACACCAGAGGGCAGGACAAGAAACAATGGTTGGAAACTGATCAAAGAGAGAAGCAACCTGGAATTAAGGAGAAACTTCCTGATAGTGAGGACAATTAACCAGTGGAACAGCTTGCCTCCAGAAATTGTGGCTGCTCCATCACTGGAGATTTTTAAGAAGAGGCTAGACAGTCACTTGTCTGAGATAGTATAGGTCCTCCTGCTTGAGCAGGAGGCTGGACTGGAAGACCTCCAAGGTCCCTTCCAGCTTTATTCTATTGTATTCTACTATGCTTATAATTGCTATGTGCTTAGAGCTCAAAGCATTGTTAGAGACCCCACACATCCACTTTACGATCTGTTTCTGTTGCTCCCCTCTGGGAGGAGGTTTCGAAGTATTTCTAACAGGACTACCCGATTCTGTAATAGCTTTGTTCCCTATGCCATCCATCTGGTAAACTCATAAGATTTGTTTTTCTCAACATGCACATGTATACATAACCCGAACAAGTCTGTTGTTTCTCTGTGTCATATAATATATATGGGTATATGCATAATTCTGTATTTATTTATTTTTGTCATATTTATGTAGTGTATATCGGAGGTGGTGACCCATTGAGAGATGGATGCAACGAAATTTCATTTTAATGTATGCCGATTAGTGTACATTCAAAGTGACAATAAAGTTATTATTCTATTCTAAAAGATACTTTTTTTAAAAAAAATATTGTACATCACTGAATTGCATTAACTTTTATAATTAAATCCTGTATAAACATAACTGAGAAAAAGTACTATTCAGTTCAACAGCATTTATTTCCCAGTGGACTTGTTCAGAATATCAGTTATCTGATATTATCTGAATCAGCACAGTTATTTAGCTCAGACTCTGATGTTTTGCTCACGGACTACTGTTAAGTTCAGCTGGTTGATGGACATAAAAAAGAACCTTCTTGGTGATCTTAACTCTAAGCCTATCATTTCAGAACTTCTAAAAGAAAATTCAGCCCTCCTGTTTAAGAACCATATTAATCATTTTAATTTTTACTTAATTTGAAGTTAATGACAACTTCCAAATGAAAATTCTTTAAATTATTGCTGATTTTTATCTTGGCTCCAAATAGGATTGTTTACAGATATTTATTCATGATATTTACTTTATTATTAGGTTAAGATTTTTATTTATTTAATTTATCAAATTTGTATACCATCCTCCTTATCTAAGTGACTTTGGGCAGTTTACAAATAAAATAATATATAACCCACTTCAAGAGAGATATAGCTTTAGAGGCAGTATAAATACTTGTGACAAAATAAAAATATTGAAGTCCAAAGTTAAGAAGTGAGATTTCAGGATATCTGAAGGATGACTTAACAGATAACAGAATAACAGTCGAAAGGGACCTTGGATGTCTTGTAGTCCAACCACCTGCTCAAGCAGGAGACCCTATACCATTCCAGACAAATGGCTGCTCAATCTCTTAAAAACCTCCAGTGATGGATTTCCCACAACTTAGACTGGCACTCAAAAGATTGTAAGGATTTTGATAAATATAGATCCATATCCATTAATATTTGATTACTGAACTTTATTATGCAACACATAATAAATTGACAATGGCAAGAGCAAAGGAAATTTTTCTCTATGTAATCAAGATAAAGTCATTCACAATACTCTTAACAGAATGATTAAAATATACTATAATATCCCTGCCAGATCATAATATGTAACACAATTGTACAAAATATATTCAACTGAGCATTAGAATTTTGGGTTTTAAAACTTCTCTGAGTTTGGTTTTTTATTTGCAGACATTTCCACATTCACTTGGTAATATCTGCTCCTTATATAACTTTTCGTAGTTCTCTTCACATGTGCATAAATCAGGAGAAGACTTGAATAAAAACAGTTGTTATCTTAAAAATGATTTTTGTAAAATAAATATTCCCCATATTAAAAAAATAATAGTGATTCTTCTCAAGTTTTATCTGCTAATATTTCCTATCTTTTAATAAAAAGAATACAATTTTGCACAATTTCTATAATTGTCTGAGATGCTGTGTAGACAGAAGTAGAGTTATGTGGGAGTTGCTTTTGATTAGATGATGTCTCATGGCTCAGTCTGGTTGTTCACAGTGCTGCTGCCACGAGGTGAGTCAAGGCAGATGGGGGAGGGGTGGAGCTGCCCCACACACCCTGCATCCGCTTGCCTCAGGGCCTCACAGCCAGGCCTCCCACACCCCGATACCTGCCTCACCTTGGGGCAGTGGCAGCAACAGCCCCATCCAGCAGGAGCCCACGTGACCATTTTCTGTGGCCACTAGCCGTCGCTCACACACATCACCCCCCCGGCCTCTGTTTCGCCGGCAGAGGCCTTTTCCTGAAGGCCTCTGCCAGTGAAATGGAAGCCAGGAGGCGACACGGGCATCAACCCAGGGCTGCAGAGGCTTTCCCTGAAGGCCTCTGATGGCAAAATGGAGGCCAGGGGGCAACACATGAGCGGTGGCAAGTGGCTGCAGAAGTGGGCTGGCAGTGGCTCCTGCTAGACAGGGCCACAAGGCGAGACAGTGGAAAAAATAAGACCTAATGCCTTTTTTGGAGGCAAAAAAAATATATAAGACCAGGTCTTATTTTCAGGGAAACATGGTGTATATGTAGTGATAACGGGATAACATAACATGTTCTGCTATGGAGTGGTTTAAGGAGTGGTTTT